CTTCTTTGTCTCTGTATGTAGCAGATGTTTGCCTGGTGAAAGAAAGACAGACAGAAGGAAAGAAAGAAAGAAAGAAAAAGAAAAAGAAAGAGGAAAGAAAGAAAGAAAGAAAGAAAGAGGAAAGAAAGGGAGAAAGAAAGAAAGAAAGAAAGAAAGAAAGAAAGAAAGAAGAAAGAAAGAAAGAAAGAAAGAAAGAAAGAAAGAAAGAAAGAAAGAAAGAATTCTGCCTCTAGTACCTCACCTGGAGCCCTTACTCACTGACTCCCCCGAGAGCCCCCAGTGCCAGGACTGTCCTCCCCACCCCCCACCCCCGAGGCTGGAACAGGGCTCCTTCCCTGTTGAGGCCCAGCCTTGAACCCTGTCTGCCCTGTTGCTGCCTTCTGTGAAAGGAGAAGTTGGAAGAAGGGATTCTCCAGGATATGTGGTTCCCTTCCTGCGGTTCCTCTTCTGTGGATGGTCACTGTCCACTTCTTCCCCCACAAGAAGCTTCCTGTTGGAGCTTCCTTCCAGGACAGACAGGCACGCCTAGAAGCCAGACCGTTCGGTGGCGGGCCCAGTCCCCGGGGACCCCAGAGATGCTGCTGCCTTTGCTGCTGCCGCTGCTGTGGGCAGGTGAGTGGGTTGAGGGCCGGGGTGGGGGGTGGGGGTGGGCAGGGGCTTCGCGTGTCACTGTCGCTGAGCCTCAGTGTGCCCCCAGGGTCCCTGCAGGAGAATCCCGGATACAAGCTGCAGGTGCAGAAGTCCGTGACGGTGCAGGAGGGCCTGTGTGTCCGCGTTCCCTGCACCGTCTCCTACCCGGGGGTTCGCAGGAGCCCCTCTGCACCTGTTTACGGCTCCTGGTTCCGGAAAACCTACAACTCCAGAGGGGATGTTCTCATGGCCACAAACAACCCTGCCAAGGGCGCAAAGAGGAAGAACAGATTTTCATTTCACCTCGCCAGAGACCCTGGGGACAGGGACTGCTCCCTGAACATCACAGACGCCCAGAAGGGAGACAGTGGAAAGTATTATTTTCAACTGGACACAGGTTCCATGAGACACAGTTACCAAAGTGACCTGCTCACTGTGACTGTAAGAGGTATGGAGGGGCCCCGAGAGTCCATGACAGGGATGGGAGAGCACGTCTTCGAGGGCAGACATGGACCTCCTGCTGCTCACCTTTTTTTTTTTTTTTTTTTTAAAGTTTATTTATTTATTTTTGAGAGAGAGAGAGAGAATCCCTAGCAGGCTCCGCACTATCAGCGTGGAGCCCTGCCCAATGTGGGGCTCGAACCCACAAACCGAACCGTGAGATCATGACCTGAGCTGAAGTCAGATGCTTAACCCCTCCCCAGGCGCCCCCGGTGCTCACCTTTAAGGGGGGAACAGTGGAGCGTGGTCAATTTAGGGTTGGGGTGCCTCTTTCAGAGGCACACACAGAGGGGTCCCCTCTGGTCTCATGTCTCCTCTCCAGCGCTGACACAGACCCCAGATATCCGTATCGAGGAGCCCCTGGAGTCTGGCTCTCCCAGCCACCTCACATGCTCTGTGCCCGGGGCCTGTGATGGGGTGACGCCCCTCACCCTCTCCTGGATGGGAGCTGCGCTCAGACCTCCGGGACCGGACCTGGAGGCCTATAACTCCTCGGAGATCCTGCTCACCCCCCGTCCGCAGGACCACGGCACCAACCTCACCTGTCATGTGACCTTCCCCAGGGCTGGTGTGAGCACCCAAAGCACCATTACGCTCAACGTCTCCTGTGAGAGTGGGGGAGGGGGGAGGGGGGCAGGGGTAGGACTCAGTTGTCTGCAGATGCCTGCGGGGCGGGGCAGGGGGGCTCCGAGGGGCTGCAGGGGGGACACGGGACTTGTCTGTTTCTATTTCCATTTCTGCCTCTCCTGGGGGCGGGCGGCGGGGGAAGGGCCAGCTTTGACTCTATTCCTCTCTGTGTCTCTCTGTCCTAGATGCTCCACAGAACTTGACCATCGGCATCTCCCGAGGAAATTGCACAGGTGGGTCCAAGGGCCTCGAAGCCAACCCGGGAGGGCCAGGGTGATGCACAGCGAGAGCAGAGTCCGGAGGCTTCCCTTTCGCTGTGTGACGGATTGTTTTTGCTTACTATTCAGTAGCCGCAAAGACAACTTGTCAAATACGTGCACGTTACGGAGAATCACCACAAAATGAACACCTTGGTGGTCAGTGACGAGGTTGAGGTTAAGAACTAGATGGGGCGCCTGGGTGGCGCAGTCGGTTAAGCGTCCGACTTCAGCCAGGTCACGATCTCGCGGTCCGGGAGTTCGAGCCCCGCGTCAGGTTCTGGGCTGATGGCTCAGAGCCTGGAGCCTGTTTCCGATTCTGTGTCTCCCTCTCTCTCTGCCCCTCCCCCGTTCATGCTCTGTCTCTCTCTGTCCCAAAAATAAATAAAAATGTAGAAAAAAAAAAAAAAGAACTAGAACAGGGGCGCCTGGCTGGCCCAGTCGGTGGAATGTGCAACTCTTGATCTCCGGGTCGTGAGTTCAAGCTGCACATTGGGCATAGAGGTACTTAAAAAAAAAAAAAAAAAAGGAACAGCAACCCCACTTTTGGAACACCCTGAATGCTCCTTCCTAATTTCAGCCCCTTTCATCTGGCCTCAGAGAAAGCCATCACACGGGACGCTGTGTTATCATTGTTTCTACTTAATTTTACTTTATTTTTTAAATGAACACATCCACGTATCTTCCTTTTTTCTTTCCATTTTGCCAAATATGTTGGAATCTCTACGTGATGTTTGCTTGCCAGTGTTTTTGAAAGCTTATGTGACACAGGACTGAAACATACGTGTTCCTCTCTGACGTCTGAGTTATCTTTTTAAGTTGAAATTCAGCTCCCATCCCATGAAATCAGCCCTTTCAAAGTGAGCAAGTTCGGTGACATTTAGGACATTTGTGATGTTGTGAAACCACCGCTGTATGTAGTTGCAAGGCATTCTCGTCACCCCCCCCCCCCCAAAAAAAGCCCTGTACCCATTAGCAATAATTCCCTATTTCCCGCTCCCTGCAGCCCCTGGCTACTAATCAACTTTCTTTGGCCGTGAACTTGCCTTTTCCGGATATTTTATATAAATGGAATCTTACAGCATGTGGTCTTTTGGTCTGGCTTCTTCCACTTAGCATGATGTTTTCTTTTATATATCCATCTATCTCTATCTCTGTCTCTATCTCTATATCATCTATATGTATAGATAGATTTTTTTAGGGGCATCTGGGTGGCTCAGTCGGTTAAGTGTCCGACTCTTGATCTTGGCTCAGCTCATGACCTCACGGTGTGTGAGTCTGAGTCCTACATCAGGTTCTGCGCGGACACTGTGGAGCCTGCTTGGAGTTCTCTCTCCTCTCTCTCTCTCTCTCTCTCTCTCTGCCCCTATTTTAAAGTGTATTTATTTATTTTTGAGGGGGAGGGCAGAGAGAGAGAGAGGATCCCAAGCAGGCTCCACACCATCAGTATGCGGAGCTGGACTCAGGGCTTAAACCCACGAACCACGAGATCATGACCTGAGCTGAAGTCGGACGTTCAACCGACTGAGCCCCCCAGGCGCCCCTCACGTTCCATTTTCAACAGGCACTTGAGTTGTCCACAGTTTTCAGTTTTCATGATATTGCCACTTGGAACATTCCCCTTGTCAACAGAAGAGTCTTTCTTTAAGGCACGTAGATTTTTCAGGGATCTTGCGACGATGCAGCTGTGACTCAGGACGCGTGTGTGGCCTCTGGTTCTGCATTCTTTTTTTTGTTTTTTATGTTTTTTTTTTTAATTTTTTTAACGTTTATTTATTTTTGAGACAGAGAGAGACACAGCACGAACGGGGGAGGGGCAGAGAGAGAGGGAGACACAGAATCGGAAGCAGGCTCCAGGCTCTGAGCCATCAGCCCAGAGCCCGATGCAGGGCTCGAACTCGCGGACCGCGAGATCGTGACCTGAGCTGAAGTCAGACGCTCAACCAACTGAGCCACCCAGGCGCCCCTATGTTTATTTTTTAGACAGAGAGCATTGAGGTGCGCATGAGCGTGAGCAGGGGAGGAGCATAGAGAGAGGGGGAAAGAGGATCTGAAGCTGGTTCTGTGCTGACAGCAGGGAGCCTGATAGGGGGCCTGAACTCATGACCATGAGATCATAACTTGAGCCAAAGTTGGAGGCGTAAGTGACAGAGCCATCCAGGCGCCCCATGGTTCTGCCTTTCTAACCAGCTCCTGGAGGGTGCCAGGGTACCCCGGGGGGATGGGACTGTAAATTTCATGCCCAGGAACAAAACTGGGATTTTAGGGACGTGTATTTCAATGTTACTAGATAAGGCTATTACGGAATAGCTCTGGAAGGCCACACAAGAAACTGGCAATAAATGTTGCCTTTGACAAGAGGAATTTGTTGCCTGCAGGTTAGTTAGCATGGAAGGGAGACTTCTCTCAGAACACCCCTTCCTCCTTTGTGACTTTTAGAATGCAAAATGTGGACACCCCACTCATCCTGAGACAACTGGGGGAAAGGAGGTGAAGAGGCAGGGGTCAAGTCCTGAAGAGCCTTGAAGGGTTTGGTATTCGAAGTTTGGGCACTTGAGCCAGGGGTGTTCAGCAGCTGGGGAAAGAGAGAGAAGTGTAGCGAAGGGCGTGTGCCTTGGAGAAGCCAGTGTCCATCAGTGGATGGACAGATAGACACAACGTGGCCCATCCATGCAATGAACATGATTCTGCCATAGAAATGAGTCCAGCACTGGGGTGCCTGGGTGGCTCAGTCAGTTAAGCATCCAACTGTAGATTTCTGTTCAGCTCGTGACCTCACAGTTCGTGGGACCGAGCCCTGCAACGGGTTCTGTGCCGACAGCACGGGGATTGGGATTCTCTCTCTCCTTCTCTCTCCGCTTCTTGCCTGCTCTCACATGCGCTTGCTGGATTGCGCGTGCTCATTCTCTCTCAAAATAAATACATTTTAAAAAAAGAAAGAAAGGGAGTGTAGCGCTGACAGGTGCTACAAGGCGGTGAACCTTGGAAACATCATACCGCAAGGCACACAAAAGCCCACAGCGGCATATGATTCTATTTGGATACAATGTCCAGAATAGACAGATCTGTGGAGACAGAAAGGTTAGGGGTTGCCAGGGGCTGGGGGACGGGAGCAACAGAGGAGGCAGCTGAGGGGTGCTTTTTTGGGTGGGTGATGAAAAAGTTCTGAAACTGATTGTGGTAATGGTCACCGCAGGACTCCTTTTTAAGTGGTATATACATGGAATTGCATGGTATGTGAATTATATCACAATAAAGCTGCTTAAAAACTACTTGTGAGGGGCGCCTGGGTGGCGCAGTCGGTTAAGCGTCCGACTTCAGCCGGGTCACGATCTCGCGGTCCGTGAGTTCGAGCCCCGCGTCAGGCTCTGGGCTGATGGCTCAGAGCCTGGAGCCTGTTTCCGATTCTGTGTCTCCCTCTCTCTCTGCCCCTCCCCCGTTCATGCTCTGTCTCTCTCTGTCCCAAAAATAAATAAACGTTGAAAAAAAAATTTAAAAACTATTTGTGGTTGGCGCGCCTGAGTGGCTCAGGTCATGAGCACGCGGTTCGTGAGTTCGAGCCCCGCGTCGGGCTCTGTGCTGACAGCTCAGAGGCTGCTTTGGATTCTGTGTCTCCCTCTCTCTCTGCCCTCCCCTAGTTGCGCGCGCTCTCTCTCTCTCTCTCTCAAAACTAAATAAACATAACACACACACACACACACACACACACACACACACACACACACACAAAACCTACCCGTGGAGATCCCTTCCCAACTTATGGAAAATGGAGAGGAGAGAGAAATAGGCCTCGGCCCTGGGCTGGGGGTGCTCACCCTCGCTCTTTCTCTCTCTTCCTCCAGAACTGAAATACCCGGGGAATGGCTCATCTCTTCCAGTCCTGGAAGGGGAATCTGTGTTCCTGGTCTGTGTCGCCGACAGCAACCCTCCAGCCACACTGAGCTGGGCCCAGGGGAGCCGGACTCTAAGCCCGTCCCAGCCTTGGAAGCCTGGGGTCCTGGAGCTGCCCCGAGTGGAGTCGGGCCACGAAGGCGAATTCACCTGCCGAGCTCAGCACGCTCGGGGCTCCCAGCACGTCTCCCTGCGTCTCTCTGTGGTCTGTGAGTGTG